TTTGTTGGTCCTTTTGAGATCCTTGAGAGGATTGGTGAGGTTGCTTATCGTTTAGCCTTGCCGCCACAGTTGTCCGGAGTTCATGACGTGTTTCATGTGAGTATGCTTCGGAAGTATGGGCCGGATCCATCGCATGTGTCAGATTGGACCGACTTGGAGGTAGATGAGGATGCCTCGTATGAGGAGAGACCGGTTCGGGTCTTGGATAGGCGGGATCAAGTCCTGCGTGGCAAGACCATCCCTTTGGTAAAGGTTTTGTGGAAACATCACGGAGTGGAGGAAGCCACTTGGGAACGTGAGTTGGAGGTCTGTGAGAAATATCCGGACTTGTTTGTTGATGAGTAATCTAATATTTAGATTATGTAATGATTTTGGACTTAAGAGCTTTATATATGTCTTAAGTTGTAAAACATTGGTAATGTTTTGGTTTAATGAAAATATGTTGTGGAACTTACCTTGATATGGAAGTTGATTATGATATTGCATATGTTGGCTATATTGTAGAATTGGGGTTGTATCATGTATATTGATTATGATATGAACTGTGGACCATGTATGTTGGAAATGATTGAAAATTGAAGAAAATTGCATATTGATAATGCACTTGTAATATATGTTGTGAAATGCCTCTTGAAAAGATATGGAATTGACCGGTAATGGGTCGGGTTGTTTAATACTATGTTGTAATATTGTTGAGAATGGAGAAAACCTGTTTTTGAAAAACTTGTGTTTAATTTCGGGGACGAAATTCTTTAAGGGGGGAGGTTTATAGCGATCCCGGTTGTCCCTTTACTGTTCTGTTGTATGTATTCCGGACTCGGTTCCGTGAAGTTGGTAGTAGTATCTATCATGTTGTCATCCTTTAGTTCCACTTGATTGAGTTTTAGGATGTTTTGGGCAAGGTTGTTACAGGTTGGTTAGACCTTGGTTTCAATTCCTTGTTGCCCAGTTTTTAGGCGTTCCGCTCGAGCGGGTCTTTTTGCGCTCCAGCGGGGATTGCACAAAACCAGTATTTCGTGTTCCTGCAAAACCTTCTGCAGATGTGATTTTTACGCTCGAGCGGGTTTGTTTACGCTCGAGCGGTGGCGCTCAAGCGGGTCTGGTGGCGCTCGAGCGGGTAGTACTTTCTGGGTATAAGTTCTGGGGGATGGTAATCTACGCTCGAGCGGACTGGTTTTCGCGCTCGAGCGGAAGTGCTTTATTCTTGTGTCTTGGCGCTCGAGCGGGCCTTATTGCGCTCGAGCGTGTGCAGATTTTTGTTCTTGGCGCTCGAGCGTTGTGTTCTCCGCTCGAGCGGGTCATACGTCTATGAGTTATCCGCTGGGTGATTTTAAATCACTTTTTGCTTTTCTTTCTCTCTCCTACTTTTTCTAAAAACCATTTTTGAGAGCCTCTCTCTCTAGAAACTCCCTTCTCTCTAGGGTTTGATCTAGTTAGAGTGTCCTCTTTCTCTTCGACCTTTGTAAACGTTGTGTGGATCGTCGAGGGCGTCGTTTTGATCCGTGAATCTTGGTCTTTGGAGCACTTTGGTTTTGGCTTCTTCTCCATCCGAGCTCTAACTTCGAGGTAGGGATAACCTACTCCTTACTATGAGCTTTGTCTTTAAATTTTAGTATTTTGAGATGTTGGGGTTGGTTTGGTAATTCTGTGAAAGTTTGGGGCCTTAGTGTAATTTTACAAAACTTGGGGTTTTTATTTATATAAAACCAAAATGCATGTTTGGCATGAGAAAGTGGAATAAATGTTGAAACATTAATGAGAATCGAACCTAAGGGTTGTAATGTTAATTATGAAAAATGCCCTAATTACATTGATCGATTAATTTGTATAATTAATTGTTGGGAATGAGGGATTGACTTGAAAATGTGGAAATTGGAAAGGGAAGGGGTTAAAGGGTGTAGTTGGATCATTTATCACTCACCTAGTTGAAATGTTGATTATATATCCATTGTTGCATTTATTTTCTGTATAGAAATAACTGCTTTGGGCTATCGGTGGAGGATAGTCTTGATTGTTGTAGACAATGCATGATGATTAGGCAAACGGAAACTAATCACTGGAATGTGTCATGGAGTATGACGATTGAAAGAATACATTAAATTTATGTGTTGTGTGATGATGTGTATAATTATTGTTTATATGCATTGTGTTGTGTTGAATGAGATAGGGGATGTACTCCACGGTTTAGGGGAAGATAGGGGATGGACCTCTAAACTGGATGTTGTTGGGAGGAGATAGGGGATGGACTCCATAGATAGAGCTCATATGCTTATCTATTAATGTGTTGACAGAGCTCATATGCTTGTCATTGGAAGTGTGATAGTGCTCATATGCATATCTGTGGAAGTGATGATATAGCTTGTATGCTTATCTGTTGGTGTGTGATATAGCTAGTATGCTTATCTATTTTGAAATGGGGAAGTGCTTAGTATGAGTTACTGTCTCATATGAGTTGTTTGGCCAGGTTCTGAGCCATGGTTATAAATTGAGAATTTGAAAGGAATTGGAAAATGAATGGTAATATGGACTTGTATGTCATGAAAATGTAAAGTGCGATAAGGGAAAGTATCAGTGTTGGCCATCTATCAACTGCTAATCTTTTAGTCATTGTTCATAGTTGGTTTAGTATATTTCTACTGGGCTGTGGCTCACCCTATATGGGAACATCATTTTCAGGTACAGGTAGCATGCCACCTCCAAGGACGTAGCTTGGGAGGCTAGAGGCAGGCGGACTTTTGTTGCTTTATTTCTTTGATGTATTACATGTATATTCAAGCCAAGGGCTTAATGTGTAAATGAGTTAGTACTCTTTTGTTGTAACCAAGTGTTAACTTGGAAAGCTGTAAGCCTATAGGGCATTTGCTTTTGTTGTTAACATGCAATACTTTTGGTAATGGAACTCTGATGAATAGAAGAAAGTGAAACTTTTATTTATATCAATACATGTCTATATTGATGGGTTTAGCGACGTTTTAGAAACGCCGTCATAGGTTTTTTGTTAATTTTAAAATTTTCCAACCCTTATAGTGGCGTTTTAGAAACGCCATCTTTTTTTTTTTTTTGAAATTGTTCTAATTTTATGTGATCAAACTAAAAGAACACTTGTAATAAAACGAAATAACACTAATATGAAATAATAACTCCCATTCAAATAGCAAATATAGCATCAATTCATTTTCCCATTCAATTTAATATCCAATCACTGTTACCCACAAAATAACATATTCAAAAATTGAATTCACAATTCTCAATCAAAAAATTGCTACATTATATACAAAGCCATAAAATAACATTACCCTCTTCTCTCTCTCTCTCACCACTCCCCCATTTAACACAAAAAATAAGAAGAAAGTGAACCAAAACACCTAACCCCCCAATCAGATCAGAGGGAAAAAAAGAAAAAAAGAAGAGAAATAAAAATCCAAAGGATTTTAACACAAAAAATAAGAACAAAGTGAACCAAAACACCCAACCCCCATCCATCCTTCATCGTCATTTTGAATCGCTTTTCATGCTACTTCCCATGGCCTTCAATCCTCTTGGTCTCTGCCAATCGTAAAACATAATAATAATAATAATAATAATAATAATAATAATAATAATAATAATAAGCCAATAAAAGAAGTGCAGTAAATAGATAACAAAAATAAATATGAGAAGTTCAAGCTACTGAATGTTATTTTAAATAGTCACATTAGGTCAAATTAACCTTGGATATTTCAAACTATTAGAAAGTACACAATCCCATGTCATACTCAATGTAATGTTTCTCTAAAAAAAGAAAAATAAACTATAAAACATTACTAAGAATATTAATGCCAAAGCACAAAGAGAAAAGTAGCTACACACGTCACACCATCAGTAACAAAGGCAACTAAAACACACATTTACTATGTTAACATGAATGCAAATACAAATCTAATGGCATGTACATTCTTAATGAGAACCAGGTCAAAAATTGCCTCACCATGTTAGACAACCACACGCCTCATTCATGTACATTCTTAATGAGCTGTAATACCACATTCAAGAAATTGACATAACAAATTACAAACACAGAGAGAGTATTTAGTTTCTTACAAGCCAAATTCCAATCGAAAGAACATATTTTAGCACAACATAACCAAGCCTGTGTGCAAGTTCTGTGTTGCAAGAATAACTACATGGAACCCATGATCACGGGCAATGTCGATGACAGTTTTTCGTGTGATCCCTGGAAGAATAGTCCCACTAGTTGGTGGAGTTGAAATAAGATTTCTCTGTGAAGGTTGATATATACATGAGTCTACAATAGATACAAATTTATTTAATTCTAGGAAATACTGTTAAAACCAATGTAAGTCAAAAATTTTGTAAAAGCTAAATCGAGGCAAATAGTTATATCCCAAATGGAACTTACAGGAGTAAATTATGAGAAGAGAAAGGGACAAAGTCTTACCTCATTATAGTCAACAAACATGTTATTTGCACGCAAATATGCTTCAATCATTGCCACCTGAATTTTAACACAGATAAGTACAACCTCGTGAAAATTTAAATAAAAGCAATAAGATGAGACATACATCAAACATCATGGTCATTAGATTTATGCACACACATGAAGGTTGAAAATACTTACAGTTTCATCACTTCTTCCAGTCAATTTCAGATATTACAAAGTAACCTTGTCAACAGGAAAGAACCCTATTGTTGCACCATACTCAGGAGACATATTGGCAATAGTGGCCCTGTCAGCTTATGATATTTTACCCACGCCTTCTCCTACGTGAAGGACATATTAGTGAGTTAGACCTGTTGTGGACGAAATCATGGCAGTTGAAAATTACTAAGGCTTAAATTTTTATTACCATAGAACTCAACAAATTTACCAACAACACCATGCTTCCTTAGCATTTGGGTCACAGTTAAAACCAATTCAGTAGTTGTGACACCATTGTTTAATTTTCCAGACAACTTGAATCCAACCACACTAGGTAACACCATACTCATTGGCTGTCATATGTGACTAAATAATTCTTATTTAAGCATGTAATATGTATATACAAGAAATAATACTAAAGTGATAGAGAATATGATAATTAAGTTCCATTATACGCAATACAGAATGTAGGAAAATACAACTTAAAGCTTCTGCATTCACAAGCTGCAATATTGACCATAATATGCATATGTCATAGGGTGATGGGGGTGATGCCTCACCAGGCACTTCAATAGCATATAAGCAAGAAAATGAGTGTGCTAACAAAACCGGCACAATCACCATAAACAAAGCAGTTACGATGAAATAATGCTTTTCAGAAAACAAAACAAATACACCATTCAATCATAGGTCTGGGAAAAACCTTCCTGCAGTTTTATCACATCAAGTGCATTATTTACCTGACCAAGCATCACTGCCTCTGCTTCAATACATCCAACTCCCCAACCAGCAACTCCTAACCCATCTAATATAGTAGTGTGAGAATCAGTTCCAACCACACTATCGGGATAGAGCATGCCATCAGAGTTAAAAACAACCCTTCCAAGATATTCAAGATTAACCTGCATGTTCATCATGACAATCTACTTAGTAACATCATATTATATACAAGAAAATTTAACAAATTAACAAACTCACTTCACTTTAAAAATTAACTAAGCCTGAAAGGAAAAACTTAAAGCGTAAGCCAACTGAAATTATCAAATCTTGCTTCACTTTGTAAAAGAATAAAAATTTAAAAGTTTTTTTTTTTTTTAAACAAAGCCTGAAGAGGAAAACTGAAAGTGTTTAAAGAAAATTGCATGAAAAACAAAAACAAAAACAAAAAAAGAAGAAAAAAAAATAGATAAGCAATTCAATATATTGAAACACTATAATTTGCCAAAGCAGCTATGTTAACTCCCATACCTGATGAACAATACCAGAACATGGAGGAACAACAAGCATGTTATGAAAAGCGCTCGACCCCCATTTTAGAAAAGAAAATCTCTCCTTGTTCCTTTGGAGTTCAAGCTCAATATAACTAATTCTCAAGGGACAATACAAAGGCAGTTAATGAGAATGACACCAAAGGATTGATCTTGTTAGAATTGCTGCCAAGCTTGTTCATGGCATCACACATACAAGCAAGGTTGACCACAGCTGGAACACCAGTAAAATCCTGACACAGAACAGAAGATTTAGTTTAGAACCAGAATACTTGTCTAATAACACTATGTGCCAATGTGGGATATCGTTGACCAATACTTTAAGGAGAACACGAGCAGGCTTGAAGGGAATTTCTACTAAAGTGTGTTGTTTTACCTTTGATAAGCCAAGGTCACCAATCTAAAAAGAAATGTAGACAATGGATGAGCGATCACATTTTGTAATAGAAGCACCATGTAACAAGAGTTAAACATGAACATGTATCAAGTTATCTAACAGGAACATGTATAATGAGATGAAGATGAACCTATCAGAAAATGAGATGGAGATAATAAACAGATGCAGGCTAGGTACATGATATAAATGTACTAATCATGTGAATGAGACAGTTAATAGCAGGTAACAAACTACAAACAGAAACAACCAACATTCTCTATTCAACATATGTATCCAATAAAGGAAAACCCATAAAACAAAAAAGTTGCAGTTTTCTAGCTATCCAAGCACCTACATATTAAAAGCTCACATCTTTACATACTAGCATAAAAACCTCAGGGGTTGGATTGATAGGTAAAATATAACTACTAAACTTTATTTACAATTCAAAATACCAATCCTAGATATCCTGAATCTAGAACAAATGACTCCAAGCAATTCAGTTTCTGATATACAACCAAGCAGCAAATGTGAAGAAACAATAATAATAAAAATAGCATTTGGCTGCAGTTCTAGAAAACTAATGAAAGTAATCCATAAAACTATTCAGAAAGTCCAAAATGGAAATCACATCTGCTCTGCTTCATATTCGAACATAAAACATGTCAAACACCCCTCTAAGCGGTTAAACAGCTCCCAACCCCTTCCTCAAAACACCTATTAATACGGCCATGCCTTTCTTATTATGTCAAAAACAAACTTTTTATGCACACATGCACATATGGCCATGAACAAAAATGTACACAAAGACAGGCAAGTAGTTCTACATATGTATATTAAAATTTAAAATACAGGATTTTGTTAAAGGCACATGTTATGAAGGTTAAAATGATTGTACATTCTATGCTTGTACAATCAAAATCATTCAAATAAATGTGCACTTAGGACACACATTAATAAGGCCCTAAAACATAATATGAACTAATACCCACTTGAGAATTATGTCAAGAAGTTCTGCCCCTGCTTTTGAATCAAATACCTCAGCTTGATGGCTGTTATTCCAAGAAAAAAAGAAATTTGAATTCATCTAAACATATAATCAATGTAATTTCAAATAAATGATCATAAAATAGTAGATAAAACATTTAATCACCTCACATGACATCTCAAAGGCCTCATAGGATTGTTAGTCAAGAGTGCAACTCGCCGAGGTATTGGACAAACAACCGAACCCTTCCAATCAGGAATAGAAATAGAGCCTATAATCTCCTGATTAGGAGACATAAAGGCATTGCTATGCTGAAAATCACAATAATTCATCTTCAAATTCCGCATAAGAATGCTTGTTCATCGTATCAACACAACAGTCTCAGCCATCAAAACCATGGGTGGGTCTATGACCTAAAACCCAAAAATTCCTCCTTACAACAAGACAATCAATATCACACAATTAACAAAACCCACCAACTTTCCCAAAAAAAAAAAAAAAAAAAAAAAAAAAAAAAAAAAAAAAAAAAAACTGATTTGGAAGCGTATGTGCAATTCAAGTTAAAGTATTACAACAAGCTTGTATTGTGATGTTTTCAAACTATAGCCTATATGTTGATCAAATGGTAGACTCATGTTATATTGTACACACAACAGTAGATTTCTGGGAGGGTTTTGTGCAAATTAAAGTGAACAAATTTAAGCTTCTAGAATTGTCATTTCAATAGAACCATTTGGCCCAACTAGAATTGTCGTGTCAATGCTAAAACACAGGTCCTTATAGGCAAACTAATTGCAAAAAAGAAGCAACAATTCTCACCAGTGATCAACTACTCCAGGAAATGCACAAGCAAGATACCTAAGAATTGCATGACTGCGAAGCATATCAAATGCATAAGATAGTCAATATAAGCTTAAAAAAAGAATGTATAATTTAGAACGTTAAAAGAACAAAAAGATTGAAGAGCATCATCCCAAAATTTTGTAGATGCAGTAATGACCAACAGTCTCTACAATTCATATATGAAAAAGAATACTAACACTAGGGGAATGTGCATAACAGTGCCTTTAATACCTAGAGCCCCAAGTACTACAAAAAATATGCAAAGAACACTTGAACTAACCAAAAGCCATGGAGGGATAAGCAAACTAAACTTTCCATTTTGAACTAGATACATATCTTATGGCTTTGTAAGATATGAAACTTCTAGAATTTCATCATTCAATTACAGGAATGACATAGAAACAAGGGCCAACTATCTAGGAATGACATAAAATTTGTGAAAATGCATTACGCCCCACTAATTTTCCTAGTTATACAATGAATCCAATTTGTCAAAATAAAAAAAGACCAAGTTGTCATAGGATCTGAGATTCTGAATGAAACAGAAAAACAAGACTCGTAGTTCAGTGAAAGATTTGAGTGGGTTGTGCAATTCTGATAATGGTCTAATCGAACAGCTTTCTCATAATGAATAAGTAAATCTAAACTGATTTGATTAATCATTTTTTAAAACAGAACCAACCAATTTTTAACTTTAATTTCCCCCTCATGATTAGTTTACACCAATGAACATCTCCACCCACTCCCATTTCATTGACTATGCAAGAAAAATAACCTTTGCAAATACACCAAATCCTCACCTATTTTTTTTTTTGTATATAATATTTAATCTCAATAGACTACACAAAAGGTACGCAACTATTGTGGGAGACACACACCTCAACATATAACAATACCTTTGTATAGCAAGAAAGAGATGGACCATCCTTTGCAAGGCCAAAAAAAAGAAATATGGAGGAGAAGAATGAGAAGATGAAGAAAGTGAAGAAGATGAAAATGCATTTCTCACAATTGTAGAAAGTCCATTATTCAGTTGCTTGAGAAAACGAGAATAGTTTGGCTACTCAAGTAACAAAACTACTATCAGAAGACAACAATGACTTAAAAATAATAGTAATAATAATAAGAGAATGAATAATAAATCTTTACCACAGTGGCCCTATTTCCCTCATCCATCAATGATGCACCAGCAAGCATTTCTTTAATGTCAATTCCCTGAAATAAGAATCTATTGTAAATAATTGCAAAGTCCTGAAGTAGAAAAGATGACACATTGAATTCTGTATATAAGGACAACTTACCTGAAGCACTTCTGAAGTAGAAAAGTCTCTTAGTTGCTTCTTTCTTTTCAATTGTTAGCTTTTTAAGCCGAAAAACAAACTCTCTTTTTTTTTGGCTTAAATAGCCAAAAAGTGGCTTTTTTAGTCGAAAAAACAGAGCCTTAATATGATGTTTATGTGTTTAGGCAATGTATATGTGGAGTTCTCCATCTAGACAGCTTTTTACTGTCTAACTGCTGACCTTATTTGCGTTGCATTACTAAATCCAACACGGATACAAAAATTTGGGGAATGTTTATAAAACAAGGCCCTAGCCAGTAGTAGGTCATAAGGAAAGAGGGGGAAAAATGCTACAAGACCAAAATAAATTCCCATCAGTCATTCTAATATGAGGACATTTCAACCCTAGCTTATTCCTCCCTCCGTTCTAAATAATGATTATTTTATGAGTTATTCTAATATAAAACGTTCATTGTTTAAAGGCCTCCAATTGCATTGTTTAAATCCAATTCCTCAAGTGCTTCAATTAAACTAGGCAATGGGATAAGTTGCACACTTGATGAGTATGTAGTATGCAGCACCTGTATTTGTTCTATTTCTATTTGTAGAGTTGAGATGTCAAATACCTAACAGTATTTGAAAGAGTGGTAGATGATTTTTTGCGTTTACTAGTAAAAGTCCAGACATTAAAGTAGGCAATTAATGCAAAATAAAAATGATAACAAAATACAGAATGAGTCAAAAAAAAGATTATTCAGAACAGGCCATTGACTCAGTAAGAAGATAAATTCAGTTTAATAATGCTAACTGCACAACTGAAATTCAACTAGTTATTAGAAATCTAATCTTCCCGCAACAAATTCCCACAGTCTGGCTAAGCTACCAACCAGATTTTAACCATACAAGTGTAAGTGATCTCAAATCCAACAAATGTCATAATCACAAGCACATCTAGCATTTTCTGAAAACAAAAAACAACATATTAAGAAAGAATGACAAAGCAAACAAAAGAAGAAATTGAACAGGTTTCCAAGCAAATAAATACCAAATCGAGAGATACGGGAATGAAGGGCTTGAGAGAGAGAGAGAGAGAGAGAGAGAAATCGATACCTCGCTGGAGCTTTGAAATCGAGAGAGAGAACTTCAAAATCGAAATCATTCTAAGATGAAATCACTGAGACCGATCTGAATCTCTGAATCTCAAAGCTGAAGAGAGAGATCTAGAGAGAGAGAGAAAGACACTCTGGAGCTTCGAAATAGAAATTGCTCGCCGATGGTGGTCGTTACCTCGTCAGTGGTGGCGGTGGAGCTTCGAAATCGAAATCGCTCTAAAAGATGACACCGCTCTTGAGCAACATTGTGAGAATGATAAGGGTTTAGAGAGGGTTGAGAGAGAGGCGAGATTTGAAGGCGTGAGGATTCAAAATAAGGGTTTACAAAGGCTTTAACAATTATTCTCCGATTCAAAATAAGCTTCGAAATTGAGAAAGAATCACCCAAACATAGATTTCAAAATCGAAATCGAGAGAGAGTCGATTAAGGCTACAGCGAGAGATGAAGGAGAACGAGAGATGAACGAGAGCGAGAGGGTGAAAGACTCACTATGTTTGGTAACCTAGGAGAGAAACGTTATAAAAGAAAAGAAAAAAAAAAGAAATGATTGTGATTTCTCTTCTTTTTGTTTGGATAAGGAAGAAATAAAAGAAAAGAAATGATTGTGATTTCTTTCATTATTGTTTGGTTGGGTTTCATTAAGAGAAAAGAAAAGAAATTATTTTATGTTATATTACCAAAATAACCATTTTATATTTTCAATCATTTTATTTCTTTTATTTTTATAGGGACAAAATTGGTATTATGAAAATAGTGATTTATTTTCTCTCCCAATCTCTCCACTTTTGGGAAGATTGAAAATGAGGCTTATAAGAGAAATGAGTTTCTCTCCATTTCTCTCAATTTCTTTCCATTTCTCTCCACTTAAGTTATCCAACAAGTAAGAGAAATACATATCTCTCCATTTCTTTTCTTTTCTCTCCAAATCACTCAATCCAAACATAGCCTCAGAGATCAGGGCTACAAAATGTTATATTTGATATTCACCCGCTCACCCACTTAAGAGAGGAAGAGATATAGGACATTCGAAGGCATTTTCAAACGCCTTTGGTTAATGAAACGGTGCCGTTTTGATTTAAACAAAAAACAACGTTTAAAAAAAGTCGTTAAATATTATAAAATGTGGCGTTTAATAAAACGTCGTTAAATAAACGTCGCCAAAACTCAAATTTCTTGTAGTGTACTAGAAGACCCAAGTGTTGACTTACAAAATGTATCAATATGAACCCACATTTGTTGACATCACATCCTATTTTCAAAAGTCATGTACACATTGTCATCAAGATTTGAGGATATACATTTGAGGATTCCCATTGTCACATTCCATTTTTCTACATTAGATTCAATGTTAACGTCACATTGACTTCATCAGTGTGTACACTTTGACATTGTGTTTCATAGTTTAGAACCAACGATTGGTGGATGTTCCGAGTGCGTCATTGTCTCGTTGCCCAATTGGGCTACGTATGGGAATGTAACTTACGCATTCAATGTGAACTCACATTTATATTGGGCTATTTATATTTCATATAAAAAATAGATCCGTTTCTCTTTCAAATTGTGCCAATAAACTTGACGCAATGGCCACTAACGTGTGAATCCATCACATTCACTTTATGTTTCAAAGTAAATCAGGTTGACGTAAACTGCCACTACGTTCACATTAACCTGGGTTAAGACATTAACGTTGTCAAGAGCAACAAATGCAGCAACTTGAAAGTCCCTTAACTTGTACACATTTTAATGAACAAACATAAAATGGGGGTGGCAATAATACCATTATACACCACACCACAGTCAAAGTCCCAACTCTATAGATATGATCGCAATTTATGATAAAATTGGATTTCTTATATATGGAACGTCAATTTTAAAATTCAAATTCCTAATCACATAGATATGATCACAATTTATGGTAACATTGGATTTCCTATATGATATTGCCATTAATTAGGTTATCAAATAATATTGGGGGTAAATGTGTCAACAAGAAACCCACAGGACTTACAGGAACATAATTTTTTTCACAAGACTATATGTAACTTGAGTCTTCCAAATAGGACTTATAAATAATTTACCCCTAACTTTTAAACTTAAACAGTAATATTATGAATAAAGTCGAAACCAAACACATGGAAGCTAATTGTCGGTTTTAATTATCTCTAAATTATATAAATTTGTTTCTTTTAAGTTTTAAAAACTTTAAATGGTCTGTTCGTTTGAATTTTTAAAAGCTTTAAATAGTTGGCTTTATATAATATGAAACTTTGAGATCTAAATGTAGAAATTAATGTTGTAGTTTTTTTATAATTTTTTTTATTTATTAATATATCTGTTTGTCCCTTCTATATTGAAATCTTACGTCTGTATATGCCACCAAGTATCAAAGCTAATAAAAAATAAAAAAATAAAAATGAATGGAAAATGCCTCCCCATGAAAAGCCTTAGACCACATGTAATGCCCTGAAAATTGGGCGGAGTATATCTATTTATGTAACAAAACCACCTGATAGACAAACACACATATATAGTTAACTATTACATACATCCATTTCCATTAAATTCCAAATGGCAAATACATGTTGTTCACATCTCAATGCCCCAGTTCCAATCCCAAGCATGCATTTTACAACAAGTATGAAATAGAAGCCAAACAGATAATAAGTGCCCTACAGGCTTACAAATTTATCCAAGAACATTCTTGGTTACACAAAATGGAGTTTCAACTCAACGCAAATACAGCCCTGGGCTTACATTCAACAAATAACAATAAAACCAAAAATGAAGCCTCAGCTCCGAGTCATCGCAAGTCAATGCCTTGGCGGAGGCATAGCACTTGTACCTGAAATGGTTTCGCTTATAAGGTGAGCCGCAACCCAGTAAAGATATACTACACAACATATGAACCATGACAAGACTAAAGAGGAATATGCTCATGCCATGCTCATGATAAAACAGTCTATCTCTCTTTTATAAAGCATGCAATGCTGAGATGCAACAACAGATATAAAGCCATTTCCATTTTAAACCATATCTGTTACATGAATATAGGCTCTGTGAATCTCTAAGTGAGTGTCTGCAAGTAGGTTCAACAGATTAAACTATCTAAGTAGGTTTAAAAATGCTGTAGTTCCGGACAGTTTCAATCTGTTCCTAGACAGATTCAAATCTGCTTCATACTTGTTCAAATTTGAACTGTATCTGTCCAAGTTGTTTTGCACTTGTTCAATTCAAACTTGAACCTGTTCCAACAATCACTACTTGCCTATAAATTCAGAATTGTTCCAACAAATTTCTGACGTCCAGAAAATCAATCTTGCTTCCCGTTTTTTCTCTTTTGCATTGTTATTCTTCATATTAGTTTTAGGAAAAATTTCAAATAGTATAGAACACAGGTTCTAGTTCGCCGTATAAATTGTTTGGAGTGTTACTACAATTTGTGTAGATCATTGTATCCTGGGAGATACACGCCATTTATCCATAAGTACCGGAGCGAGGCGAATCTGTCTTAAGGACAGCGTGTCTCACACTTGACTTTATCTATTTTTGTACTTGTTCATTTCGGTAAAATAAATTATGTAAGTAATTTATTTTTATTTGTTTGAGTTGTTTCAAGTTATTTTATTTTACATAGAAGATTGTTCCAACAACTAATACATATTCTAATACTATTATTTAAAACCATGCACAAAATTAAAGACAAACATTAAATTTGTGCAATGCTAGCAAATCCAATTTTACCACGACATGAGAGGCGTATACGTGGAAATGATCTCCCCAAATGCTAGGATGATAATTGGCTGAGCGTCGAGTGACCTTCGATATCATATTTTTGGTTGAATCAGGAATAGGTATAGTGTGAATAGAAAATTCCATGTTTTTGTTTTTGGTTGTGTGACGAGAAAATGGAAGTGAACAAGAACACTCTTGTGGCCTCTTTTTTTTTTTTTTCCTTTTCACTTCTTGCCTATGGCTGATATGGACCGAAGGGCTCTAGTGCTTTGCTATTTATACTACAATCCTATGTATTTGGAGGTGAAACAACAAGGAAGAATCTGAGTTCGTGGACGTGAAATTTACGTTCCAATTTCTACTAAACCAAAAAAAAAAATGTGAACCTCAAGAATCATGGTACTAGGAGGTAAGAAAAATTGAAAAAATTAACCAAATCAATTGAACTAAACCAAACCGTCTGTATTTGGTTTGTTTTTTAACAAGAATTGGTCTATGTTGTTTTTAAGTTTGATTTTTTTTTTAATACTTTCAGTCCAGTATTAGTTTAAGCAGCTTATACACCGAACTAACCGAAACCAACCGTTTTAACAGATATTGTATTTAAAAAATATATATATAATTTAATAATGTAATAATATTATTAAGTATAATAAATTATTAATTTCAATTAATAAACCCGATCATCCTATCACCTAAGTTAGTACACTCTTATTATATATAATATTAACTCTAACACACTATTCTTAAAGTCTTAATATTTGTTATTAGTTTTTGTTTGCTTTGTTAATTTAGAAATTGTAAAATATTTATTAAATGAATTGATAGGATATATTTGAAATGGTTGACAAATGACTATACTAAAAAAGGGCTTAAATTTGAAAGATATTAAACCAATCAAATATCACCAAACCGAAGTGTTTCAATTGGTGCGGTTCGGTGCGATTTAATGGGAGAAACAGTTTGTATCGATATTCAAAATAATAAAACAGACATTATTAATTAGGTAAAATATTTTACCTAAATACCGAACATACCAAACTAAACCAAATCCCAGTTCTTGTATATTTAAGGTTGTAAATGCATGGTCCCCGTGTGTGAATAAGGTGGATGGCGATCAACCTTTAAAGGTTCTAAAATAGCCGCCCCACGTAAAAATTGTTGGCTTCCTAAGGATGTGTTTGGTTCTTAGATTTGAAAAAAGATTTGAGAAAAAATGAAATTAAAAAAAAAAAGTGAAATGTAAATAAAATATACTTATACTTTATCTACTTTTACATACCTTTTTCATTTCTCCTTTTAAATCTCTTCCTAAATCCATGAATCAAACACAACATAAGAGAATAAGAGAATGAACAAATATCAAACATAATGCTACGTTGTGTCACCGACTAAAAAAATAAATGATTCAAGGTAAAAAAATAAAAAAATAAAAAAATAAAAAAAAAATAAAGATCTTCGTCACTCGTGTATACGTACCAGGAGAGAGAGTTGTCTTAAGTTCAAAGATTTGACAAGAAATTTATAACGGAGTATAGCGATCCCGGGTTTACCCTTGCTGTACAGTGATCCGGACATGAGTCCGTGGATGTTGGTAGTTGTTTATTATCTTGTTTGCATCCTTTTTACTTTGTATATTGAGTATGGGATGTGTTGGGCAGGTTTGTTACAGGTTGGTTGTGTTTGGGAGCCTAGTGTTGCTGCCCAGATTTTTGGCTCTTCGCTCGAGCCAGGAGTTTGTCGCTCGAGCGAGA